CAGTAAAAAACCCTTAACTAGATTAGCTATTAAAATAAGAAGGTCAAATTTTGACAAATAATAAATGGAACTCATACATTGTTAGTAAACATGAAAAATAGTGCAATCATGTTTTTAAAAACACTATTTGGAAATTTCTTAGAGTTAAACATGCACCTACCTTATGACCCAATAGATTTATTCCCAACAATTTACCCCAAAGAAACAAAGCTAATATATACAACAAGACAAATAAAAGCATGACCACAGCAGCTTTATTCCTAAAACCAAAAGTGTGGGGGGGTTTTTAATGCCCACCTGCAAATTGTGGTGTATTCAAACAATGGAATAGTAATCAGTAGTGAAAATGGTATACTTGACAAAAATGCACACTAAGTTATTTTTAAGTGTATTTATAATGCTCACAACCACATGGATGAAAGCAGGTACAAAATAGTATATACCATATTTTATTCATTCATATAGTTGTTAGAACTGTTAACTAAACCAAAACACCCATTACCTCTTTGGGCTAGAGAGAAAGATTGACTAGGAAAAAGACTTTTAAAAATAAATTATTTTGTGTGGATGAAAATAATCTATACCTTTATAGGAATGTAGCTTTCATGGATGTCTTCATTTGCCAAAACTTGTCATATTGAACATTTAGATCTGTGCATTTTGCTTTATGTCAAATATGTCCCTATTTTAAAAAGGGGAAAAATAAACTCTGATGAATATTGGAGATCACACCTTCTAAAAATATATTAAGCGAACAAAAAACAATAGTAAATTTTTATTTTTCTCTCTGGTATAAAGTATATTTGATCCTTCATTGCCATTCAATGATCTACCTTAAGTTTGGAAATTATTGAGGAAAGCTCTAAGTGTTTTAGTTCCTATCTATACTTAATGAAAGAATCTACCCTAAGTTATCAGATAAGATATATTTGGATTTTTTTTAGCCAAACGATACTAATTTTCACATTATGCGCTAATACTAAATAAAACCTTATTTCATCCTCATGCTAAATTTAATAGCAAGAAAATAGATTTTAATAATTTAAAATATGATATGTACTTCTAAAATTCTTTGGTTATCTGCTTACTAAGGGCACCTTAAACAATGACTACATTTACTTACATTTTTTTTCTCCAAATACTTCTTTATATCATTATTTGCAAAAATTTAGTAAATCATGATTTCAAATTTAGCCTTCTTGGACACACAGGCATGATTTAGGTAACCTTTGGCAATTCCCTCTGAATGTCTATTCAGAAAAGCTAATTTTGACCTCCTATTTCATGGGCTTTCATTCCTGAAGTCGGAGACCATTTATTCATTCAATACTACTTCATTTCTATTCCATATTCCAAGGTGCCTGAGGTTGGTGATGAGACTTTTTAATATAGAACTAAGATTTCTCTGTCTGTATAATAGGAACAAATTCACCTTTAAAAAGAAAAAAAGCAAAGTACTTGAATAGTGCAATCTCTGAAAAAGAATGGGCAAAAAACGATACTTGAGTCTTCTAAATTAGAGCATTAGTTCTTGTCCTTTAGAAGGAAAAAAAAAAAAATCAGAAGGACATCAGACTGAACTAAATTGAACAGAAGAGCCAATGGTGAAGAATAAACTGGAAGGTGCTCAAATCAGGAGGGTAAAGGAAGGTAGGCTGCTTAACACTCAGGGGTCTGAATCATATGACACACTCTCTGCAATAGTGCCCAATCAGAACTTCATGATTTCTCCAGAGAGAAAAACAATGTTCCCAATTCAGGCTACAGATACCCAATAGAAGCTGTTGATGCCAGATGTTAAAATAGCTGTTCAGGCCAAGACCTTAAGCAAAATTAAGTAAAAAGTGAGAAAATTACCTGACTATGTTAGCTCTAAAAAAAAGTTTGCATGAACTAGTCATAAATTCAGGCAAAGGTATATTTTTGGCTAACAATTAAAAAAAAAAAAAAGAGTAGCTGTCAGTTTTTCTTCTATGAAATAAGGCATTAGAGGATTTCTGAGTTCTTTCTAATTACTAGAATCTATGTTTATTGCCTCAATTATCTGAATATTTCAACCAAGACTGTTTGGGGCTTGGAATATTTATATAATTACCACAATTTTTCAGTTAACTTTGCATGTGTGGACACAATCTTAATGGTGATTTGTATTCCCATTGGGAAATCTTTTAGTTTGGTAAGAATACCCCCAATAAATACTCTCTGTGGGAACCTAAGCCTATGATATGTTTACAGGGTTGTGCTAGTGTAAAAATACAGAAGTTTGAATGCTGTATATTTTCTGTGTAATCAAGAGTTAAGAGCTTTGGTGCCAAGATTTTAAATTTAAAATTCAAATATCCCTCACTTTCTAAAATACCTCTCAAACTGAGGTTTTGAACATTAAGTAGCTTGATTAAATAAGCAAAAGAAACTTTCCTTTCTGGATGAAATTAAGCATGTCTTTGATAATTCAGAGATTTATGTATCTCAAATCCAAAACTAATATAGAAGCATAAATATTATTGTTACATATTTAATAAAAAGAGTTTTATATTCAGAACAATGTAAATCCAGATTAAATAGGGTGAACACACAAACCCAAGAAAAGGACACCTTAAATATTGTTTTAACCAAGTGAATAGTAATCAGTTCTTTTAAACATATTTCTGTAGTAGAACCAGAAAATCAAATCATAATGAAGTCCCTAATAAGATGGCTATGTAATTACAAGTAGTTCAAAGAAATGCTAGAGGTATCTTTCAATTCCCAAAGGAAACTTCTTAAAGGCAAGGATCCAACCTTATTCCTCTGTATCGCCCACAGCACCTTTCCTCACAGGAACTGCTCAATAAACATTATCTGAACAGGAGAGGGAGCAAATTCCCACCACCAAGAAAGATACTTGGCAAATTATTCAAAATACCCTCCAAAGAAAAATTGAATACGATTTGGAATCTAGGGCCCTCCACAGACTCTCCAAATCAGCATTTTCAGAGGAGACATGAAATCTGTTTAACAAGCACCCTGTGTGAATTTTATGATTAAGCAACTTGGAAAATAGTTCAGTGTAAGATTAAACTGGGAGAATCACAAGATTATAGTTTAACACTTTAAAGTCACCATAATTTGCCCTAGCCTAACTTCCCAGCATTATCTCTCTTAATCCTCAATCAGAATCATTTTGTGGCAGTCAGGCTAGTGCACTCACAGAAAGCATGGTGGGTGGAAAGAGTATAGCATCACCATCAATATTCCTGTGTTTGAATCCTGGTTTATTCCAGTAATAGTTAAGTGATTCTGGCACTGTTAGTAACCTATCTTGTCCCTATACAAGGGTTTGTCGATATTAATGGCTAGGACATCCACTATGCTCTTGATGTTTTAACTGGGGGAAGGGGAGTTGTGGGAGGGAATGTGTTGCCTCTTGTTGTGTTGCAGAAGACCAAAGAAAACCAAGCGATATTTCAAAGAAGAGGAGGGACACTGTTTAATACACTGGCAGACTCAGGGGACAGACTTCCAAATCTGAGTGAAGAAACATGCATTAGGTTTTCCTTTATATCTCCATGGTCTTTGTCCCACACATATGGATTATGCTTCCCATCCTTTTTTTTTTGAGGGGGTGGGGGTCTTGCAAGAAGGCCCCCAGATGTTGGGGGTCTCCAGGCCATGTCTGATGGTCTGCCCTGGCGTCAGAGTTAATAGCCCTCCCTCCGGGGCAGTGTACTATTAACAGTAACAGGTTCTGCAAGACCAGTATCTGGGAATGAGGTAGTGACTTAATTATAGATTATCATGAATATATACTGAGCTTACTGGCATGGATTCAGATCACTATCCCTAAAATATCAGGGTTATATTGGAATTAGCCCTTTTTAGCCTTCTCAGTTGCAATGACAATAACCAGTCTGGACTTGCCCTGATACCTGAAGTCAAGCTAGTGCTGAGTCTCCCTCTACCTTGTTTCTTCCTACTGTTGAGAGGCATGATCATATCACCTGGTCAGTGTTTACTTTGACACTGGTCATATTAAGTGACAACCTTCTAGTTTTGCTGCAACCATAAATGTGACTCATATAAAGGACATTGATATCATCTCCCAGTTCTACAGAGACATCACCTCAGCACTATAACACTGATTTCTAATTTCCTACATTTGGCACCATTCAGATGCCTTGATGCCAGACTCAGGATGACTCTGTTTTTGTGATATAAGAAGCATGAACTGCTCCCAGAAGCCATATAATGCTCAAGGCCCCAGCTCATATCTTCTAGTCACATAATGGATACATGTCTCTTGTACTATTTCATTGTTTGAATTATGTGCTCTCTTAAGTGTCACAAATTTGAGATTACTAACCTTTGCCGTGAATAGTAAAACTCAACCCAGATGGCTCTGAAGAAAAAACCCAGTACTGTATAAAATCAGTGCCTAATCACATACCAAGTGGGCAAGCCATTTATTTAAGTAGATAACCTTTTGTGGGTTATAAGCAGATATTTATCTGGCATCCAATAAAGTGGGAATAATAACCCTAATATGGTTGTTTTGAATAAAGTAGCTGGCATAGATATTGACATATTATAGGAAATCTATAATTGTTAGTTCTTTTTTCTTCCTTTCCTTACCAAATCCCAAATATACCCTGTGCACTTCCCGTGTGTGAAGATCTGCTTATACTTAGCCCATTTCCTACCTCTCCTCCATGAAGCCTATTCAGATCAATGTAGCCTTTAAGAACCCATTCAACCTTGTAGCACAACCCTTCTACCTTTGCCCATTCACTCTGAGCCACAAGAATCCTTCTGTATTTTAGAATTCATGTTATTGTTAGAAAACAAATTAGAATCTAACCAAATATTAGCATAAATTTCTGTCTAAGATATTACATGTGTACATTTGTTCTACTGAATGAGCTTGAGAGGGAAAAGATAGTATCATATGCTTCTGTATGTAAGTTCTGTGAGCTGTACATAGTAGGAAAATTAAATGAGAAGTAAATGCTCTTACCCACCCATTCTTTTTTCTTTTTTTAACACTGTTAAAAAAACATTTGTTTTGATGCAGTCTACCATAAATAAGTCAGTAGAGGTTCCACTCTGTCACAGATGCATCTAAGAGCCCTGTGCCATTCAATTGGTGAACGTGTGAACGATGTCTCATCTCTTATGCCAGCCGGAAGGCACCCCTTCCATGTTGTTACTGTCTATAGATTGCTTCCAAATCAAGATGACCAGACAGTCCTTTATCTCCAAAGTAAGCTCAAAACAGTTGGTTCAGGCATTCCAGGATCTGCACCCTTCTTAAATCCCAGGTAAATCACAAGCGGAATAAAGCCCCAGCGGATGGCGAACTGGCCGCCCTCGAAGAACTGCTGCAGCCTCTGCGTGGCCTCTTTGCTCCGCTTCACCAAGGTGACGGCCGGGGCGGCGCTGTGAGCACCCAGGACCACGGCGGAAGTCCTCTCTCCGCCACCCATTCTTTCTAGGAGTAGAAATGGAGTCACAAAGAGAAACTTTATGATATCCATCTCAGATATTTCTTTGTGAATTTACTAAACAGACATCTAGGTTCACTACCACTATTGTCTACATTGAAAACATAGACAGTGTACTTTTTTTAAATTAGCACTAGACTGCTGGTGGGAGTAAAGTTGATAACACCCTTCCAGTAGGGAAATAAAGCAGTACATACCAAAAAGCTTATATTCACACAACTACTTTGATCCAGCAATTCCATGAAATTTGCCCAAAAGAAAAAATTACTGCTGTGTTTAAAAAACAATGTGCAAAACAGTTTTGTAAAAATGGGGAAAATATGGAAAGAAACTAAAATAACCTCAATATGGAATTGTTTAAATGAAATGCTATGCCTCCTTTTAAAATGATGTCAAGAAGAAATAATTAATGACATAAAAATATTTATAGTATCTTATTAGTATAAAGAGCAGGTTATATAAAACTATTACATGATGTTCTAATTTTTTGCAAAAACATAAATTTATTCCTATTAAAGGAAATAGATGAAATGGCTGCATGAAGATGACAACTACTGGCTTCAAAAATTATGGTTGGAGGCCTAGCTGATTTGGCTCAGTGGATAGAGCATCAGCCTGCAAACTGAAGGGTCCTGGTTCGGTTCTAGCCAAGGGCACATGCCTAGGTTGTGGGCTCAATCCCCAGTAGGGGGTCTACAAGAGGCAGCCAATCAATGATTGTCATCATTTGATGTTTCTATCTCCCTCTCCATCCTCTCTGAATTCAATAAATAAATATATTTTTTAAAAATATGGATGGATATTTTCTGCTTTGTGATATTCTAAATATTGCAAAGTTTATAAATTTTTACTTCATATATTAACACTATGAGATCTTAAAACTTAATTTCATTGAAGAAAGTATATATAAACCATGGAAGTGAATACTTTCCATATTTCTAGTTTCATAGCTCTGTAGTTAACAATATTATCTGATATGCTCACAATGATGAAATAAAATTGGCACAATTTAGCTATCAAATTCATTTAAATGTAATTTTAAAATGCTTAAATAATGGCAGTAATCTCCTTTAAAAGGGCTATTTTTAAAAAATAAATATTTATTGTTCAGATTATTACACTTGTTCCTCTCTTTTCCCCCCATAGCTCCCCTCCATTCGGTTCCCATCCCACCCTCTGTCCTTACCTCCCCCTTCCCCCGTCCTCATCCATAGGTGTACAATTTTTTTTCCAGTCTCGTCCCGCACCCCCCCTGCCCCCCCCCCGAGTATTGTCAGTCCACTCCCTTTCTATGCCCCTGATTCTATTATATTCACCAGTTTATTCTGTTAGTCAGATTGTTTATTCACTAGACTTTTAGATTCACTTGTTGATAGGCCTGTATTTATTGTCCATAATTTTTATCTTTACCTTATTATTCTTCCTCCTCTTCTTAAAGGATACCCTTAAGCATTTCATATAATACTGGTTTGGTGATGAACTCCTTTAGCTTTTTCTTATCTGTGAAGCTCTTTATCTGACATTTAATTCTGAATGATAGCTTTGCTGGGTGGAGTAATCTTGGTTGTAGGTTCTTCCTATTCATCACTTTGAATATTTCTTGCCACTCCCGTCTGGCCTGCATAGTTTCTGTTGAAAAATCAGCTGGAAGTTGTATGAATGCTCTGATATAGGTAACTAACTGTTTTTCTCTTGCTGCTTTTAATATTCTCTCTTTGTCTTTTGCTCTTGGCATTTTAATTATGATGTGTCTTGGTGTGGTCCTCTTTGGATTCCTTTTGTTTGGGGTTCTCTGTGCTTCCTGGATTTGTAAGTCTATTTCTTTCACCAGGTAGGGGAAGTTTTCTGTCACTATTTCTTCAAATAGGTTTTCAGTATCTTGCTCTCTCTCTTCTTCTGGCACCCTAATAATTCAGATGTTGGTACACTTGAAGTTGTCCCAGTGGCTCCTTACAAATCTTCGTATTTTTGGATTCTTTTTTCTTTTAGCTTTTCCAGTTGGGTGTTTTTTGCTTCTTTGTATTTCAAATCTTTGACTTGATTCTTGTGATCCTCTTGTCTGCCGAAGGATCTCTGTATGTTATTCTTTATTTCAGTCAGTGTATGCTAATTTTTAGTTTGTCCTTTTTCATATCCTGAGGTTCTCGCTAAATTTATCCATCTTTTTTAGAAAACTCTTGAAAAATCTTAAACCGTATAACTGTGGTTTTGAACTCTATAACCAGTCATTTTCTTTCCTCCATTTCTTTCATTTGTGACCTGTTTCTTTGTCTCTGCATTTTGACTGCTTCCCTGAGTTGATAGAGTGGCTTTGTGTGCTAGGTGTCCTATAGGTCCCAGTGGCTCAGCCCCTCCCCCCCCACCTGAGGTGCATCTCTTGTGGGCTGTGTACATGGTCTTGTTGTAGTTAAGCCTTGATTGTTGTTGGTATCACTGGGGGGAATTGACCTCCAGGCTAATTGGCTGTGAGGATCAGCTGTGTCTACTATGGGAGAACTTCTGTGCTGGAGATACCCCTATGACACAAGACTTGCTTCAGTTGGGCTTTGGTGCTCACTGAGTCTGCCCTTTTAGTGTGTCCCTTATGAATCTGAGAAGTTGTATTCTGGAGGGTCCCGCTCTGATCCCTGGGTACACTGGCTCTTGTGATCTCCAAGGAGGTGCTAATTTAGCCTCTGCCTGAGGCCACCCACGAGAAGCTACAGAGAGATCTGCAGATTCTTCTTCTTTGTTTGGGTTTTGGAGGTGCCCAGAGGAGGCCCAGCTGTGAAGCAATGCAAGCTGCTACAGAGCCTTGGGACTTCTTTTGGAAGTCCTGGGTCTCATTGGCTCAGCTGTAAGTAAGTTTAAAATTCAAATGATCAGGCCATTCATATGCAAAAGCCTCTGCACTCAGCTTGGATGGGGTGGAATCTCATGGCTGAGCAAACAGCTATGGCTTCCTAGGGTGGAATCACAGGGCAGGACAAATAGTGATGAGTTCCCATCAGCCCTGCCCTATGAGGCCCCTAGTTCTCAGTGTCCCATGGTAATCGCTGCAAGCACACCTCAGAGAGAAAGCCACCCTCGAGTTTCACCAGGCAGTCAAGTTTCACCATGTACAAGACTGGGTCCCCAGAGTCTCACCCAGAACTGGAGTTCAGAGCAGTCGGGAGCTTTTGTCTCCCTCCTGATTGAGAAAGCCCACCATGTATTCAGTTGCCAGCCCTCTCTGTGTGCACGCCTCTGTACCTCTGTCTTCCACAGCTCCTGTAAGTCTCTGTGCTTTTATCTTTCCTTCTAGTTGTAGAATTTTCACTCAGCCAGCCTTCCTTTGGTTCTGGATGATGTCCATTTTGTCCTTTAGTTGCAGTTTTGAAATTGTTGTGCGAGGCAGCAGTTTATGTGTTTACCTATGCCACCATCTTGGTTTCTCCAAAGTGGCTATTTAACATAGGTATAGAAAAGGTAACATAAAAGGAGAAAGAGAATTAAGTTGAAATTAAAAAAATATATAAAGAGGTGACAAAAGAAGACCTTAGTATTTTCCAATCTAGACTGTTTCTTGGAAAAATAAAGACTGAAGATTCCCACATTGGAATCACAATGTCACAGCATTGTAATTACATACAGTCACCCCTTCCCCATTGTTTTGTTGATACTTTCAGTTTTATAAGCTAGATAGACAAAAAGTCTAAACAAACAGAATAAGACAGGTTAGGAGAAACTATAAAAATAGTATTATAGTTTGTGTTAATATTTTATATAATGTAATTTCTTTTTCTAATATTGTTTGCTGTATATTTTGTGGATATTCAAAGTTGACTTTGAACACACATTGTCTCCTTTTTTTTTTTTTAGAAAAAAGCAATGCAGGGGGAACTATACCTATCCCATAAAAAAAATACTACATTGTGAAGCTTTTTATTGATGTACAAAGATAAAACCTAGAAGAATAACAGACCAACAGAAAACTCTCTATGAAGATTTGGCCATTGGGCTTCAGTAATTAGGAAGAAAGCTTGAACAGAGAAGCAAACTTATTCTTCTGAGAGAACCCCAAATGCCTCCAGATGTTTCTGGATGATTGAACTGGTTTGGAGTTTCATGAATATCTAAAAGGTCATTCTAACAAGATCCTGGAGGATACCAAAGTGATCCAAAAAGAGTCCAGATATTCTCCTGTGGGGCATTTTTCCAGGCATGGATGCACTCTTTCAAAAATCAAGAATAAATAAATAAAAATGAAACCCAAACACAACTGATTAAAAATGTTTATGACAAGCAAACAAAAAATAAAGAAAAAAGAAGAACAGTATATCAGTAAAAATAAAGAGAATCTGCTTTGGGAAAATATTTACTAATGAAGTAAATTTCAGACAGCAACTATTCATACTCTAAATTAAAGAAAATAATTCTCTCTGAAATAAAGATGAACTTCAAATATAAATAAATAATTGATTAATGGTCAAGGAGAATTTTGTTGAAAAAATTAAATGAAATGTGTCAAGAATGTAAGAAAACTAATGAAGCAGAAGAAGTATATTGTTATACAAGAAAAACTAAAGAATGTAAGAGAAGCCTGATTACTTTTTCAGTTGCATTCTATGTCAGGTATATGACTTCTCTGCATTAATTATCTTGTTAATTTTCTAAAAAACTTTATAAAAGAAGTGCTATTATTATATCTAATAATAATGAAAAAAAACAAAGTTTAGAAAAAAATATCAGAACATATGGCAGGCTAAGTATAAAAAAATACTTCTACTAAATATCTAGGAATCTTATATATATAAAAAGCCAGCCACCAGAATGCTGCAACAACTGGTTCTTATGATGCTCACTGTGGTTGGCCAACTGGCCTGATCAGGAGTAGGGCCAACCAGCCAACCTCCCATGTCCTCTTCTCCCAGCCAGCCCAGCCCCAATTGGCTTCCATTGGGATGGACCCGCCGGACTCCACTGTGTATGAATTCATGCACCAGGCCTCTAGTGCTTAACAA